TGAAATGAATCAGGCTCATACATGCATTGTCTTCTTGATATGAGAAATTGAAAGAGTAAATAGGATCTAAAATGTAGAGAAGATATTGTGAAGTGGGAAGAAATTGTTTATGAGGAAAAAGGTTGGAAAAGGAAGGAAGAAAAAAGAAAAATATAAGTTAGCTATAATATTACTGGCTCTTAATTCACTGAAAATGAAGGTTTGTGTTAACATCGCTGGGAGAATTTTTACGTCCATGTCTGGTACTCTGAGCAGCTACTCTGAAGATGACAGTATGTACAGCAATCATTACTGTTATTTTTCTAGTATTTGTAATCAAATTCTGTTTTATCTTTTTCAATGAAAATTGGAGTGAAGAACTCTAATTACAAAAGCTATCTATAAATGGAAGTTTGTATCACCTCAATAAAAACGTCGAAACTGAAAAAAATTGGCTGTGTGTGGTATTTAGGATCAGAGATGAATTTTATTTTTTCTTTCAGAGGTCAATTTTCAAAGGTAATTCATTTCTCAACTACAAACAAAATGTCATACATTTAGATAAAAAAATACTATGAAAGCAATAAAAAGAAAAGACCACTGGAAGCCTAGCCCTTTTAACACATTCATTTTTAATACCAAAACAATTATATTTATGTAAAGATGCAGGCTAAAAAAGTTTATATGATCAAATAAATTTCCCCTCAAATTGAACAAATATAATTATATTTTACTTGAATATTGTAGTACTTAGGCTTTTGTAGGCTTACAGTGACCAAATTTCCCACTTTTATGACTATTTTTATAGTGCCAATTAATTTCATACGTGATTTTGATTATGTAAGAATGACATTATAATCAATTATATTAAAAACAAACACAATACTGTAGAGACTATTTTATTAGTACAACAAACATGCTATGTAGCTCAAATGTGACTGCCTGCTTTAAAATGCTCTGCTGGGCTGGTGAGATGGCTCAGTGGTCTAAAGCACCTACTTGGAACAAGCTTTGCAAAGCACAGGGACCGCGGTTCGATCCCCCAGCACCACATGCCAACCAGCCCTGCCCCCTGGTGGGCTGAGCTGGCCACACACACACACTAAATAAATAAATAAATAAATAAATAAATGTTTTAAAAAAATAAAAAATAAATAAAAAATGAAATGCTCTGCTTCTAAAAGAACAGAAAATTTTCCTCACTCAGGAAGTTTATGTAACTTTCTTACCTAATATTTCTAGGGGAAAGAGATAATTTAAAAAAATTTAAGAGGTAAATCTTTTAAAAAGAACTGTCACACTGAAATGTATAATGTTTAAAGTAAGTGCAGTAATTTTAAAGTATGTGATATGTGTAAATGTTTATGCATGAATGTGTGCATTAAGCAGACAAGCAGAGATAAATCAAAGGCAGGCATTTTCTTCTCAAAGCAAACACAACATTTAATACCAAGAGCAAAACTTTACATTGTATATTTCCATTATTTCAAACTTAAAACATTTGAAACCAGTTTGAAATGTTTACCGGTGTCTAAAGTGTGGCTAAACTTTCCTGAAGGCATGTGTTAGATAATGATGTAAATTTTAACTTGCTGTTTAATGAAGGATAATAATATAGTACAAGAATATATGTTAGCTGTGGGATAAGAAATCTAGTTTAGGTCTTAGAAAATGAAAATTTTTCCCAATTATTTTTGTTTTACCGTAAAAGTTACTCATTTTCCTAAATATTTATATACCATTCTCTATCTCCCTAGTCTCTATTTTCTCCTTTTGTCAAATAACACTTGAAACTATCTTATACATAGAACAAAGAGTTAAATGAATATTAATAGTAGCAACATGCACCTCAAACCCTGTTTTATTTTGTTTTCTCAGTTGTTCTCACTCCTCTCCCACTAAACCCAAACCAAACCAGTTTGTCCTCAAGAAATAGATACTTGATCCTGCAGAGGACTAGAGACGGGTGGGGACAGAATGAAAAGAAGCGTGGGTGGCTGGGAGTCAACATTACTTTGCAGTGATGTGGACAGACCCAGATGTGCCCACAAGGCAGAATGCACGGTAGCAAGGAGAAGCACATGCAGTTTGTAGTAGAAGGGTATAAAAGCAAATCTTTAATGGTACTGTGCATTCTAGTAAAACCCTTGTTACCTCATTTTATAGAGAACTTATCCAGTGAATCTATCTTGTGATAGGCTACTTAATTTCAACACAGGTCTGTAATCTGACTCTCTCAAGAGCCATATAAAAATAAAACTTTTATTCCCTCACTCTCTGCTTTTCTATTTCTTAAAGTTCCCTGTTCCCCTCATCTGTTCCTTATTGTCCTTCCAAGTCCTATCACTAAAGACTATTTGAGGGGTTGACTTAGTTGAAAAAAACTAAGTGAAAACACTTCTTTCAACTAAGTGAAAACACTTAGTTGAAAGAAGTCTCAGGTGTATTTCAGTTCCCATGCACAGACACAGGAACAGAAAGTGGCCAAGAGAAGTTGGTGAATAGTTTATTGAACATGAGAAAAGTCTGTCGAGATTACTGCATTTTGAATCATTTAGAAAAAGAAAATAAAAAACACTATGCTGGAAACCAATTCACACAATATTATATTTTTTAGTAGTAACAATTATTAAGTTTTATTTTGTAACTGCCAGTAAATCAGCTTTATATGAAAATGATCTATACTGCAGAAATAGAAATTTGTGTAATGGGGGCTTTTGGCTTAGCTTAGTTGTTTAGGCGCCTGCATGGCCAAGCCCCATCAAGGGCAGGGGACTGTGGTTCAATACCCAGCCCCAAGCACCTTACCAGACCCACACTTAAGGCAGCATGAGCCAGATTTAAAAAAAAAAAAAAATCCTCAACTTTTGGCCTGGCCAAATCGCTCAGCAGATTAAAGTGCCTGCAAGCAGGTGCAGGGGCCAGGGTTCCATTCCCCGGCCTGCTATGCCCGCCCCATCCCCAGGGCATGTTAAGATGGCAGTTGAGACTGGGTGTGGTGGTGGGTGCCTATAATCCCAGCACTTTTGAGGCTGTAAACAGAAGAATCACTAAGTCCAAGCTAGTAGTGAGACCCTAAATACCCTGTAGACCCTTCCCTATAGTAGAAAAAAAAAGAAAAGAAATTTATGTAAGGATAAATTCCGCCTAAAGAAAGATCATACATGCAATTTGAATTTATACACAAATGAAAGGTGTGATTATTTAAAATGTACAAAACTATTTGCTTTGAAAATGGTCAACCTTCGTATTGTTTGGAGTTGGTTTTCAGTGTTCATTCAGTGTTTTATGGAGTACTTACTGTTTGGGTCTCATAAAAATGCTTAAAATTCAGAGAACACCTGACATAGTTCATTTAAACTACAGAAAAATTGATAATGCATCAATATTCTGTGTTCATAGAGAAATTGTACTTTGTAAGACCTTTCTCATATTTGGTTATTGTCTTTTCTCTCATTGCTGGGATGAAATACCTGACACCCAAAATTAAAGAAAAGTTCATTTTAGCTTACAATTTATGGAACTTTCAGTCCATTCTCTGCTGGCTCCAACACGGAGGGCAACAAATCGTGGCAGCAGGAAAATCAGCAAAAGCAGCAAAACCAAAAAGGGAGGCACAGAGCAAGCCTCTCTCACTCTCTTTTACTGCACGTGGGCTTCCTGCCCCGGCGCGGGTGCAGTGCGGGTGCAGCACTCACACCTGTAATCTCAGCATTAGGCCAAGAAGTCATCACTAACTCAAGACACCCACCTGGTGACTGCATGAGGCGCAACATCTAGGCACAAACTGTAACAATTATAGTAGTGAAAGTTGGGTACAGTTATTTGCAGATGGTGAAATTGCCAAAAGATGAAAGCAGTACTAGGTGTCAAACATGTATCTGTTCTTGATAGAACCATCAGACAGTAACTGCAACAGCAACTTGATGGCATTAACGGTGTGCATCAGCTATTTTTGCACTCCTCCCCCTAACAAATATACTTGATAAACAGTAGAGGACTTTGTAAACATTTTCGATGAATGAACAATGATTAACTAATGAGTTAGCACTAGATTTGAAGCAGAAAAGAACAAGTGTTATAAATGTCATTACAATTAGTTACGCTATGCTGATACCAGAGTATTTTCATGTTAATCTCTCTCCTGTACTCATTTTAATCTTCTTGAGCTGGGCTTGGTTGCTCAATCCTATAATGCCAGCACTTTGGGAAGCCTAACATGAGAATTTTGAATTTGAGCCAGCCTGGAAAACTTAACAACTTAGTGAGACCCTGTCACAAATATAAAACATTTTTTAAAAAGGGGTGACTATTTGGGTCAGAGAAAAGACCCTTCCATTCAATTCCTAGTACTAGGATAAAAACAAATAAAGAAATCAAAGCAACTTCTGGGAGGGAAAGAATGATGCATTATAGATGTCCTGTATCTGAAACACTTGAGACCAGACTGTTTTTAGATTTCAGAGTTTTGTTTTGTGTTGTTTTGAATTTTGCAGTATTTGCATAGACTTTGCCAGTTGAACATGCCTAATACAAGAGTATAAAATAAAATTTAAAAACAGTTTCAGATTTTGGAGCATTTTAAGCTTCAAATTTTGGGCTTAGGCATGTTCAACTATGTGTATTTTAAAATCCATCTGGTTACTTTCTGCTTTCACTCATTCAACAAACTTGTTAAGCACTCACTGTTTGGATAATGTGATTATTCAATTTTTAAGATAACCATAGTCTAACAAGTAAGAGTTGTCCTTTACTACTTCCTTCTCGGCAGTGTGATGCGGGGGCTAAGCTAGGCCACATCGGCAGGCTCTGAGGCAGGGCATTGTGCGGGAAGAGCACACGTTGCCGTGACCGGCTGGCTGCCATTTTACTGTGCAGGGAGCTGGGCAAGGTAAACAACACAAATGTAAGTATAGTCTATTTTATACTTTGCTTTCTAGAATGGATTAAATGTTCTTTTGGTTTGAGCCAGAAAAAAATTGGTTTAAAATTAGGCCACAATCGTCTGAATGAGCTCTTACCTTCAAGTTTGTTGTTTTTCCTCTTCAGCCATTTCTCTACAGTCTCTGTACTAACACTTTCGGACACAAACTCATCTAACACCTGGGGATGAAGAGATAGGTATGCCTTCACCTTTTCATCTGTCAAGCCTGCGGAAAAAAAGAATACGTTTATGACGTGTGATGTACATGAAATATATGAAATCACAACACATGGTGCTAAGGTCCGGCTGGAGGGAGCTACCGTGGGGAGATTGTGCTTGCTGAGTACAGTTGCTGTTTAGCATTAAGACAAATGTTTGGATGATTGCCCAATATTGTGGCTATAACTACTGGCACTGAAATACAATAATGTGTGTGTGTGTGTGTATATATATATATATATATTAGTTAAAATATATTTTACCACAATAATAAAAAAAAGAATAAAGTCAAAACCTTGGCAATTTTAACTGAGAAATATCACACACCATGTGACATTGATGTTTTCTAACAGTAAAGTGGTGAGCTATCTATGAACTAATGTTATACTCTATTTTGTTGACTAAGCCTTCAAAATATTTATTTGATGGAAAGTAGTTATCACAGAGTCAACACCAAAAGCAAGTGATCAGAAAGATGCCCATAGGACCAGTTGCATCGCGAGGCAGACGCAGGGCCAGCCCCGCCCCCGCCCCCCCCCCCCCCCCGGTCCTGAGATGGTGACTGAGACTGGGCGGTGGCACACCCCTGTAATCTCAGCACTTGAGAGGCTGAAAACAGGAGGATCACTGCAAATCCAATCTCTGTAGTGGGACCCTGTAGGCTCTATACTAAATACATAAAAAAATAAATAAATAAAATAAGACAGACACATCCATGAATCACTATTGAAAGTGTCATGAGGGGAGACACACTGCTAATGGTGAGCATGAATGAACAATCAAAGTAAATAGAGCGTGGCACTGGGCCATAGTAGGTACTAAACATGTACTTAATGAATAAATGAAGTAACTTATATTTTCTTGCCTTAAAATACAAATAATTTCTTTTTCTTAGGACCATTAAACCCAACAGAATATTTAATGTGCAGATCAGAATAATCTAGGCACTTATTGTTATGCTACTTATATATTCAATTTCACTAAAATTATAAATGTTCAGCCTAATAACTGTTAAATATACATAAAATTTTGAAAATAACTTTATACATTGTCATATCAAACATGTAAAATTGTTTTCAAAATAAAAATATTGAACATGAGTGAGATATATTTTTCTTAGTGATAATTATTTTTATTACTGTATCTTCTCTGTGAATGATTTCAATAAATTACCATCTGTATAGATGGTTAGGTGGCAAAGGCAATGGAAATTATGCCTTGAGTTATATAAAAGGAAAGGAAGTAAAACTTTATGGCTCAAACAGTAGGCTGTATGTTTTACCAAACAGACAACACACTGAATCCATATGTGTTAATTAATTCGACTAGAAACTGAAGTCACAACTGTTAAGATTCTACAACAGAGTGCTATAACTGAAAAGACAAATATTTATTTCAATGAAATTAATATTTAATCAATTTCAACATATACACATATCCTATATTAGAGAAAAGAAAAATGGCGCTCATATATATTTACCCAGGGTAGAGAAACTCTGATGGTGTAAGATGCAATTCAAGAAATTCCACAAAATGCTAGACAAGAGACTCATTAAAGTAAGAATGAGTTCGCCTAAGAAAGCCCTTAGTTTCCAAATACAAAAAGCACAGGTTGTTGAACGAAGCCAATGACAAGCCTGATCTTTAACAAGACAACATAAATGTCGAGTTCTTGTCATTATGTCCTACACAGTGGAACACATTCCACACCTGATTTGTTAAAACATTGCTTTAGTTCTTATCTAACTGTTCCTGAGTTCTGCTTTCTGGTCAACCATCCATGATTAAGACAGCCAACTTGAAACTGACTCAGCACATTTTATCTCTTATGCCATGGATGTTCTTCAGTCTCTCAAGGTGAAGCATGAGGACTCCAAATTAAAGGAGTCAACTTCTCAGTGACTTTAAGTCTTCATTTTCCTTTCACTATTGTGTTTCTCAAAAATTATCCAGAAACCCAGGTTGGAAACATAAAGACATAACTGACTCATCCCTCTTTGCCACCCCATTTCATTTCAACACATTATCATAAAATTTTATTAGCTAAGTTACAGTATAAATCATACAAATGATTCTTATTCAACATGTGCAGTAAACACTTAAAATTCAACAGTAAGAAAACAAAAAATGGGCCAAAGATTTGAACACACACTTCACAAAGAAAATATAGATATGGAAAATAAGCACGCAAAGATACTTGTCATTAGTGAATTGATGTTTAAACAAAAGTAAGATTCATCTATACACATCTACACACTACAGTGGCTGATGTCCAAAGCGCCGACAGTTTAAGTTGTTGGCATGAATGTACAGCAAAATCAACTCTCCCTTGTTACTGGTAGTGCAAAATGGTACAGTTGCTTTGGAAAACAATTCCACAGTTAATCATACAGCGGAATGTATCCTTTCTGTGTGACCCAACAACCACACAATACTTTGATACTCAGCATTTATCAAAATGACATGAAGAGGCAGCTTCGGCAAAGCTATCAGCCTCAGGTTGCTGGAGTTCGATCCCCACAACACTCCAGCCAGCCAAACCACCCCTCGGGGCATTCGGAGACAAAAAAAAAAATGACATGAAGAGTCATGTCCATGTGATAAAGGTTTAAGGGTAGTTTTATTCATAATCATCCCAAATCTAGACTCATCAAATTGTCCTTCTATAATTCACTAGTTATAGTAACATAGTTATATAACTAAATATTATTTAGTAATAAAAATAAATAAGTTAATGATCCATGAAAAGACTTGAATGAGCTTTGAGTTTGGTTTGTTTTTTTGTTTGTTTGTTTGTTTGCTTGTTTTTGTTTTTGTTTTTTTAAGTTTGTGGCAAATTAACTAACAGTCGACTCAGAATATCCAGCTGAACTGAATCAGCATGGTTCTGGGAATGGAAGGCCCAACTCTCCTGGGAAAGCTTGTCATGCTGGTTTTCCTGACATGAACTTAGCTGTTCTCATCATCAGAGGAACTCGGGTCCTCGCTGTTACTGAAGATAGTTGCAGTTCTCTTTGGGGGAGCTCTTCTGGTCCTCACTGGTCTTTACCTTGAACTTCAGTTCCTGGCTCCAGTGCAAATCCCTTAGCCTGCTGGTACAGATCCTTGATCCCACTGGTGCAGACTTTCTAACTTCTACCATTGACCTTTAAGCTTCCCAGTGAAGATTTGCATGAGACACTGTCACAGGCTCTAGTCCCCCAGTTGGACTCATACAGGATATTCCCATAGGCTATAGGTCTTCATCTGAACTCATGCAGGATATTGCTGTAGAATCCAAGCCCTCATCTGTATTCTTTGCATTTCTAGTACATGGACATATCTCTTGTACTCTTTTGCATTTGGCTTTTTGGGTGAATATTATAAAATAATCCTATACATTATGTGTCCTATATGAAATCTATTTTCTTGTAACCCCTGATTACAACAGAACTAGAGACAGAATCCAGGGCCTCATATGTATTAAGCAATCACTCTACTAATGAACCATATGCCTCAGGTCTGATATGAGTACATCCTAAATGCTATTATTAAGAAAAAATAAGCAGCTGAAAAGGTCACATATTATGAAACTCTAACTATACAACATTCTATGAAAGGTGACTACAAACAGTAGGAAGATCAATACTTGCCAAGATCCAAGGCTAGAGAAGCACAGGAGATCCTAGGGTGGCAAGACTATTATGTATAATACTATAATGTTTGGGGGCCGGGGAGATGGCTTAGTAGGATAAGTGCTTCCCTGGCAAGCGCAAGGGCCTGAGTTCAATCCCCGGTTCCGCAAAAAACAAAAAACAAAAAACAAAAAAAAAAAAAAAAAAAAAAAAAAACACAATGCTGTAATGCTGAATAAATGGCACTGTATACTTGGCAGCAAAACCCACAACAGAAAAGTAAACTTTAATATATACAGATTCTAAATTTCCGAACATCAGACTTGAAAGAAAAAAATCCACACTAAATCTATATTACAAATTTGGAAAAACAAATTTTTCTCGATGAGGTGAGGAATAAGTTCTACCTATATTATTTTGAAATTAAGTGAAATCTACAAAACCAAATGAAAGAAGCTGTACATAGGCTTTGCACGCTAGTTGATAATGCTATCAAACTAGGGGTAGAGTTAATAATTCATGCATACTGCAATTGGACAATTAAATAGATGATAAATATTTTCACTCATTTGAGGATTATGCAGTTAGGTTGAGACACTATGAAGAGAGCAGGGAACTATTGGGGAAAGGGAAGGGGCTTGGGAAAGGAAGGTAAGACAGTGTAACAGGAAGGTGAACACGATCAAATCATGTATGTACATAGCACAATGAAACCCATTAATGTGCAAAATTAATACGCAGGAATCAGTAATATTTTTTAAACTCAGGTTAAGGTATTTTGGGTTTGTTTTTTTCCACATATATACTCAGAAAACAAATGTAAAATATAGGAAACCAGTTAACAGCTAAACTTCAAACAGATGCCTTAAGAAGCAAATCTGTAGCTGCAACAGGCTCCCTTTACAGACACAAGCTTTTCGGCAGCTTCTTTTCTATGAGTCTGAGATATTCTCACAGTTTTAAAGAAGCAGTAAGTGCACATTCAAATCTACTTTAAAATTCTTCTTCACAGTTTCAAGAAACAATTCCAAATTATATAACAGAAAAACTACATTTGCTTAGTATGTATACTGCAGGATACATGAATTCTTTTTAACATCTTAACATATGATCTGTTAATCAGGGCCGGCGAGATAGCTCAGCAGACTAAGCATCTGCTTAGGCAAGTGCAAGGGCCAAGGTTCAATTCCTGGCACCACATGCTGTGGCTGCCCAAAGACCACTGAGTCTGGGCGTAGTGGTGCATGCCTATAATCCCAGTGCTGGCGAGGCTGAAACAGGAGGATCACTATGAGTCCAAGCTGCATAGTGAAACTTTGTACCAAATACATTAAATACAATAATAATAATATTTGTCAATCAAAAGTAACTTGTGTCAAACCAAGCAAGGCCA